GGGTCTTCTTGAAGTTTTTTATCCTAGTCTTCAAGGGAGGAGATAAGGCGTTCAAGTGTTGTTTTCTCTTCCTAGCATGTTTGATTGAATGTTTTTTAGCTCGCTCCCTCAGGTGAGTCATTCCATCGTTGAACCAATCAACTGTTGATCCATACATTGGCCGTGTTGTGCCCCAATACTGGCAAAACTCTCTTACCGAAGTTGAGAAGGAGGAGAGTTTTAGTAGTGATGTGTTCGCAGCCCGTCAAGGTTGCGTTTTATGCCCTTGAGACCTTCAACGTCAATTCAACTTTCAACATTGGCGGTCGTTCAGGAGGGTGGGCAATTTTGAGATGAGGGCTTAGCAAGGAGCGAGGCATGCAAAGGACCGATAGTTGCCCGTAGGAGGCCGAGGAGGCCGCGGTCCTTGAGTTTTGAACATTTCAAAATCGAAACAATGTCACAGTGGGTCCACTTTTCTTGAATTGAAGAGCACTTCGAATAGAACTCGTACACATTGTATTTGAATACAACGTGTGCCCTTATTGCGAAAAGAAAAAACTTTTGTATTCCAATAAACCATTAGTTTTCTTTTTTTTTTGGAGGTCAGCGTCAGTCCTTGTGCTCCCCGCCACTGGCATCCTGCATGTTGGAGGGCTCTCTTTTTCTCTCTCTCTCTCCCCCCCTCTCTCTCCCCCCCCCTCTCTCTCTCTCTCTCTCTCTCTCTCTCTCTCTCTCTCTCTCTCTCTCCCACGACACACACACATGCACACACGCACACACGCACACACACATTCTCCTGTCTATTGGTGGGGAGCGCCACATGTTGAAAACTAGGTTCAGTGTCCCATGAACATCGTGAATCAAGCACCAACCAGGACCTCACACACACACACTCTTCGAGTTGTGTATAGCGAACATGACAAAACATACACACAACATAATCACTACCTTACCCTTCCCAACCACATCAACAAACAAACTACGGGCTGCGCACCCATGCCTTTACGGCAAGTCAATCAAATTATAAAAAAAATGGTCCCCGCTTGATGTGTGTGTGCAAAGACAGGCTCAAGATAATTCCTCTGTGGTTAAACCACCACCATCGACCACGGGGCGTTGTCATTAACGCCCCACAACTTTCGCGGCCTCTGGGTCGATGATAAATCGCATCAACGACCCAAAGTGCGTCGCCGACCTTCGAGATTCGCAAGGAGGGGCCCACAATCGATGTATAGGCCAAGTACAGGTGGTTTAAAGGATTTGCATGCACTGAAGGGGAGAATGTTGGCCACAATCATGAGACCAACCAGCTCCTTTGAGATGAGGGATAGGTCGATACGGAAATTGGAGATTCTTCCCCCCCACCGAGGCCTAAGGCATGGGTATTCCCTTTTCTTAGGGTAAAGCCGGCGATAAGCATCTACCAGTTGTAGACTAGCCGTATATTAAAATCTCCCAAGAGGACGAGAGGTGCATTCGCAGTCCTAAGACTGCGGTATAGTGGGCTTCGATGTCTGTGTCAAGGTGTCGCATTTTCGACGGCGGGCGACCAGGACGCAAAGTGGGTTCTTAGGGGGCAAAAAAAATTGGGGGACTGGTCCTTGGCAAAATTGTGGACTACCCACAGCTAGCTCTGGTAGAACCGGGACATTTGGAAAAAGGAAGGACCGGTCCTCGGGTGGAAGCGGACCTTAAAAAGAAATGGGGGGCGTTGGACTGGTCCTCGGTCGAAAGCGGACCCCAAAAAGAAGTGAGGGCATGTGAACTGCAAAAGGGCCCTCAGGCCCAGGCGTTGAGGCCCGTTTTCTCAAAACAGGGAGGTCAGACGCAACGAAATAGACGTTTAGCAAGAGGCCACTTTGACGATTTTCTGTAGCCGGAGGAACCCGCAGAAAAATCTGAAATTTTGAGAATCCATAGATGAGGCCGTGCTCTTTCCAGGAAAAATATTATAACATTTTCAAAAATTCATTTAGACCATGAAATAATCATCGCGCCGATTCGACAATTTTCCATTTTTGCCACTCAGCCATGTGTGGGCCAACTGAAAAAGTACTCCAAATTCAGTGAGTTTTTGCGCTCAGAAGCATGCGTGAAAAAACCTGAAAATTGGAGTACTTGTAGATTTTGTTGTGATATTTCCAGGAAAAACGCTAAATAAGTTTAAAAAAATCATTCCAACAGTGAAATAGATCACGGCCGCAATTTGACCCATATTTCAATTTTGTCGTTCAGCCTCTCTCTCTCTCTCTCTCTCTCTCTCTCTCTCTCTCTCTCTCTCTCTCTCTCTCTCTCT